AGTGGTCTCCGTGTACGCATAGTAATCTGGGTTGTGGTATAACATAGAACATCCAAAGGTTAATCAAGTCCAGCCAATAACTCAAAATTGGTAAATTTGCACATACGTGCTTCTGGCATAATGGTGATGATACATACTACGTACGTACGTACATACATATGTAATATTTGTGTTATTAATTTTAGCCACGGCATACATGGCGTATGATTAACATTTAATGGAGTGTATGTGAGTCGAACGCCATACATATGTATGTATGCAACTACTGCACATACATACTTAGCAAACTAAACTAAAAATGTCGCTTCCGTCTGACAGTTATCAGTTCTCATTGATTTCCGCAAAGAGTTCATTGCACTTTAACCCCAACTGGTATACCCAGACTGTTGCCTGAATGTAAAGTATATAAATTCAAATGTGTCATCGACATGCAAAGCTTGGATTTTGCACGGATTTTCCATTAAACAAGCTTACATTCATACATGTCCAATTAAAATTAATAATACGTCATGCTTAGATGGCGGCCACAGATACTGGATAATTCAGGACTTTGGTGGTTAGTTGGATTCAGTTCACTTCCAACATTTGCCGGAAGCAAATGGAGTTTTTGGTTAAATTGCGGCAAAAAAGTGAAAGTTGTACAATGCAATGAAATCGCTACGGCAACAACTGTTGTGCTGTGTGTTGCCAACATTTTTACTGTTGCTGCTCTACCAAATACTGCTCACCGAGGCATACCTACGCAGCGTACGCATCGAAGAAATTCCATTTAGCTTAGCAGATACGGCAGATGAAATTCGCGCAAAAGAGGAGGAGCGCCGTTTAGTAGGCGCAAAGATGGGCAAAGAAGAGAGAGGTGGTGGTATCCATGCGATTTCCAGTCTTGAGCAGCGACGTGGTTTCTTTCACATCTTCAATATACCCTGTAGGTGTTCGCAATTGACTTGCTTTGATTTAAGTACAGCCACAGTTGTAAATGTATGTATGTAAATTTTCTCATTCAACCGCAGATATTGTTTGCTTTTTTGCCGCCAAAGGCAAATGGCCTTTCATACCGACTTTTATGCAGAGCCGGGTCGATGAGTCTGCTCGAACCTTTTTCAAAAAAAATGACAGTGCTATAAGGCAGTTTTGTCAAAAGTGGATACAGATTAAAGAGTGCTTCAGACCCATTTTTGGTAAGCGTGGAATATGTATATGCAAACAGAGTTTAAGTTTTATATTGATTTTTTATCTACACTCGTTGTCAGGAACGGCTAACGCGCCGAATGATGTTGAAATGCTCGGTCCTGTTCGCTCCACTCCCTGTACATGCTCGAACCTGGTGAATGAGCCAGTTGTCTACTTTGATAAGGATCACATTGGCAATGTGAGCAGGGATACTATTTTGAATACCATTGAATTCTTAGAAAGTTTTCTACCACCTCCGCCTCCCAAGAAAACAAAGAAGAAAAATCGCGTTCGCAGCAGATTGGATGACATGGATATTGAGTGAAGAATATTTTATAAAATTTATAGTTATTTCTATGGAAATTTTTCACAAGTACAAGTAATGATGTTTAAAGAAAATAACTGGCTTTAAAATTACAAATCTTCATAGAACGGACGACATGTTACAAAACATTTGCCATTTTTAGTAATGAATACATCAACTCTCATACTTTGGTGTGATTTATCGGATATGCATATGAAATTCCCATTAAATATTTTGTCGGAAAGGCGGCGCACTTTCTTTCTTATCAGTTGAGCTTTAGGTTTTTTATGCTAAAAAGTGAGCCTAAAAATATGTTTCATCATACCTACAAGTTAGAGGTTTACGCCGACAGGTTTTGCGGCGGCGGCGGCGTCGTCAACTTCAAAAATAATCGACGGCGGCGGCTTATAAGGTAGATGTAAAGCAGTGTTCGGAAATATTCATATATGAACGTTCGCCTACATACATTTATACGGGAACGTGAATGTATCAAATATTCTCGATTGATTCTCCTTCGCGAACGACAAGCATGAAACAAATCCACATCATTCACGTTCGCGAATAATAGGTAGAAAAAATGTTCGCTATTGTTCGTACGCGTATGTATTGGTAGACAAAACAGCGTGCATTCATATATGCAGCTATAAGCAGAGAACATAGAATGCAGCTATAAGCAGAGAACAGAGAATGTTCTCTGCTATAAGTGGCATCGATGCCTTCGCGGACGTTCACTGCTGTCGTTCTCGTTCATAAGTGAAAGTTTGTGGGCTAGTCACAATGGAATGACCCATATGTACCTAAATATTATATTTCCGATAGAAAAATATTACCGATTTTTTTCGTATGGACAGTGATGCACTTTAATGTACTACATACGTTCGTAACAACTCGATTTCTATCGCATTTTCGTAGATATAACTAAAATTGAATTACGGTGGTTTCAGGGATAGTCAGATTAAAAACTTCAGTTGTTTGTATATATTTTTTTACTTTTAATTTCTACATTTCAGAGACTAACTAGCTAAGTAATACATAATGCTAAAACTATCATAAATAGAATACATACATATATTTTGAAAATTCCTAATTCGACTTAACTACCTACTTATAAAATCTCAGTACTAGCGCAAGCATCTTTTAAAGATCAGTCCAAATTTCTCCAAAAAGGGTAGAGGTGTTTAGGTTTCAGGAATAATTTTTAAGAGTGCCTATTTCCAAAATCTCATTCCACAGTTTTGCGCGTGTGACATTGAATTCATTAGTCACGCGGACTTTGAAAGAATCGCCGCCGTCATTAACAAACTCCTGATAATCACAGATGGCATCCGATTTACTCGCAAATGTGGCTCTATTACATGGACGTAAAGTTTCCGCGTTTTGAGGTTTACTGCCGCTCCAGATAAATGACAATAAAAATTAGTGCATTTTATCTTATTTATCCCTTTTTATTCGCAATTTTAACTCACCCATATTTCGCAAAATGCACGAAATTTCCAACCATCTGTGCTACAACAGCGGCAGGTGTCGATTGCTTCTCAAAATCTGGAAAGAGCGCTGGCGCACGGAAGGTGTAAATGAGGTCATCACAATGCACCACGCCGAAATCACCAATCGGCACACCACCCGTATATATATTTGTGAAGCTATAAGGGCCCCTATAGTTGAATTTATACAAGTAGATAGGATACTTTTCCACATCAACGGTACGCACGTAGGCGTCAATGGCATTGTAGAAGGGATGATGAAAGGCGCGATCGTTGACGCACTTTGAAAAGGAATGAATGCTTTCATATTACTGCTTTAAAATATATAACATAGGTAACTACTCAACACGTACTCACCTCCATAAAACCCTGCGCCGTCGCATTATTAATTTCAGCTTGTCCGCAGAAATATTCATTAATAATCAGCTGTGTCTTTTCTTTTAGCTGTGCGCGGCTAAATGCCTCTGGGAACTGGAGTAGCTTCTCGAGTAGCTCATGAAAATTGTCATTGAATTGTTGCTTTAGCGTTTCGTTTGCTAAAATCGAGAGCACTCGTACAGCGCCTTCAGCCGGCACTACGCCAGCCATCCACGGCACTGGCGTATAATTACCCTCGCTCAACAACTGCAGCGGATGTTGTGTAAGGAATGCATCCTTACCGCCATGTCGCTCTACAATCGGCCGGAAATTGGTCAAGGGATCGACATTCCAATATTTAAGACCATCACCAGCATTCACCAGTTCGACAGCCTTCACAGCACGTAAAGCTCGTGCCAGTTTGGCGGTGCTTAGTTCATCTGCATTGCTAATGTTACACAGCTTGGCCAGAGTGCGTGTCTGTTGACGAGGCTTATCGGTGATTGCAAATGGTACATTTGCAGTGCCACTCATGGCTATGATGCTACGAAAGAGACCTGCAAGTCAATTTGGCATGAGATTTGTGTATGAAAGGAATGAAGCAACGTCAGGGAACCACATACATACATACATACCTTCGGATTGCTTGCTCAACATGTGCAGGTGTGCGGAAACGGCACCAGCGCTTTGACCAAATATCGTTACCATCTCTGGGTTACCACCAAAGGCAGCAATATTACGTTTTATCCAACGCAATGCAAGATTTTGATCCTTTAGTCCCAAATTGCCAGGCATATTGTCATCGTCTGTTGAGAGAAAACCTAAAATATGCCATCGAAAAAGAACAAAGAAATTGAAAATGTACCAACATAGACGCCTAAAGCTTACCAAACGGGCCCAATCTATAAGCGATTGTCACCAGTATGACTTCTTTTGTATCCATAAAATACTCTGGTCCATGTAAATGTGGACTCGAAGTGCCGCTGAACCATCCGCCACCGTGTATGTAGACCATTACGGGTAGCAGCTGCTGAGAGTTTCTCTAATTGAAAGTCACATGTAGTTACTATATGTATGTAAAATAAGTGGGTCGATTTACATATAAAATAAAAAAAAAAATCTTAGTGCCTATGCTAATTTGAAAGCTTACTTCTAGAAGATTTAGGCGTCGCAAATGTCCGCTATAGCCACCCGCTTAAAACAGAGCCAAAATTGTGTTTGTGATACATCGTTAAAACGGTATTTTAGTGGGCTATAACTGTTTATTGCTGCTACACTAAGAAATCAGCAAAACATTTTGATAGAAAATAAAGAAGGAATTATTGATCTATAGAGTAATGCATTTAAGTCTAACGGGTGCTTTTA